TGGGGTAGGGATGGGGTTAGAGCTGGGGTAGGGAAGGGGTTAGAGGTGGAGTAGGGTTGGGGTTAGAGGTGGGGTAGGGAATGGGGTTAGAGGTGGGGTAGGGTTGGGGTTAGAGGTGGAGTAGGGTTGGGGTTAGAGGTGGGGTAGGGAAGGGGTTAGAAATGGGGTAGGGATGGGGTTAGAGGTGGAGTAGGGAAGGGGTTAGAGGTGGAGTAGGGTTGGGGTTAGAGCTGGGGTAGGGAAGGGGTTAGAGCTGGGGTAGGGTTGGGGTTAGAGGTGGAGTAGGGTTGGGGTTAGAGCTGGGGTAGGGTTGGGGTTAGAGGTGGGGTAGGGAAGGGGTTAGAGCTGGGGTAGGGAAGGGGTTAGCTTTAGTTTTATGTTTTGGGTTTGGAGTAAAGGCTCAGATTGTGGTTGTGGTCAGAGTTGGGGTTTGTATGAGGGCTAGATGTAGTCTTAGGGTAGGGTTTGTGATAGGGGGACTGTTAAAGTTGCTGTTATTTTTAAGGTGACAGAGTGGCTTGGTTTGAGAGTAGGCATCAGGGTCAGTGGGGTGGATACTCCTGTTGTTCAGAAACAAGCAGGTGAAGGACTGAAGTGTTCTGATGGGCAGCTTGTAGTGTACATTACCTTCTGTCATACCTCAGGTGCACAGCAAGGGGCGCCACTCAAAACCACATCACGCTCAACAGCACCTCACCTGGTAAAACCCAGCTCTTCGCAACTGACCTCAGATTCAGGGAGTTTTTTTACAGACATATCTTTATGCCAGTCTTGCCGAGCGTCCAGTTTTTCAGTATGCAAGTCTAGCGAGGAACAGCATTGCGACAGTTGGTGATGGAGAGATTTCTGAAATTTTGTTCTGATTTGATTTGAAGCCAGATGCTGTGAAGTCAGAGCCATAACTATCCTGAGGCAAAACCCCCAGAGTCCTAAACTGCTCCTACGTACCACTGCCGCCTCTCTTTCCTTCCCCTACGTGAGGCCCTCCTCTAAGTAATTACAACCTCGTCTTCCTGCTAACGAGGCAGAGCAATTAGAGCTGTGTAGAGAGCAGTTAAGGCTGAGACACTCCAGCCACACTGTTGCACCCAGGACCGGAGATGCCGTGAGAAAGAGAGCAGTAGCCCAGCGCACAGCACTAACACAGCTGTCCGAGTGGTCTTCTCTGTAAGCCA